AAGGAACGAGAACAAAGATAAAAATGCCCTAAAAGCCACCAAGGGGAATCTCGCGGGTGAGGAGCTGTGGGTAATGCCAACAAACCGCGGCAGCTCGGAGAAACCCCACCTGCTGTGTTTTACCCCTCCCAAAGTGATGCCATCAGCCCCCTGAAAACCAGAGCTCCCACCCTGCCAGCAAATCTGCCACATCCTCCTGCTTCAGAGCATCACCTTGGGAAGAGGCTAAAAATACCCCGCAAAGTTGATCAAGCCTCAGTGCCGGGAGGCAGCTGGTGCCCCGAGCTGTGTGTCAGCCCGCGATGCGGCTGGGGACAGCCCAGCATGAGCTCGGTCTGGTGAGAAGCTCTGAGGCTTTGAAAGGTTCTTCACTCCCTGTGGGAATGAGCCGGCGCTGGGTGCCACATCGCCATCGCCCCGGCAGAGCCGCTGGGCTGTTTCACAGCAGATGAGGCGGTCCTTTTCTTTCCTTTTCCTCCACTCTTTGGGATAACTGGATGGAGGTTTTATCTAGAATTCCTCTTTTAAGGAACTGGTATTTGCAGATGGATAAAAACAACATCAATGTCACTGTGCTGACTTCCCCAGCAGCTCACACCCTGGCAGTGGGGCCGGCAGCACCAAAACTCCCCGCTCACCCCACTCAGCCCTCCAGAGCACAGCTCTGTTACAGACCAGCTCAGCCCTTCTGCATCTGCTTTCTTAAAGCCTCTTCCCACCATGGAGCAGAGACCCTTCCTGCCACACAACCTTCAAACCCCACCAGAGCGGGGCTGCAGCATCCCTGTCCAGGGCTTTTTGCTCCAGCTGGGCTACACACCCCGTGCAATCTTCTGCCATCCTTCAAAAGCCAAGATTACAGGCACCTCACAGCACTGTGCTTTCCTCGGATCTTCACAACTCAATCACCAGGAGAAGCTCCTGGTCAGGCACTTCAAGAGCAAAAGTGTGTATTCCTTCCTCAAGCATCCTCTGAGCAGCCTTAAACAAGCAGGTCCATTCCTGAGTAACCATCTGTGCCGGCTTTTAGCGTCGGTGCTTCCTCTGCTCCCCTTCCCGGCTGGGCTCACCAGCCCATCAGCCCCTCAATCACACACGTAAGTGACGGGGAGCCAAATCGGACTTGACATGGGTATCTAAAAATGGATGAATAGTAACGCCGCCGTAGCAGCTGAAGGCAGTTTGTGGGCTGTGCCAAGCCCGAGCCCTCCCGCAGCCCACGCTCTCGCAGCTCCAGGGAACAGAACAGCTCTTAGGAGGGGAGGAGAAAAGTGGAGGTGACAGGAGGAGCCAGTTCAATCCCTACTCAAACCCCACAGTTTTGTTTCCCTGGTTGATGGAGATAAACCTCTTCTAACCAGAACAGCTCCCTTTACCCTTCTATCTCTGCAGCATCACCTCGCTGATGGCAATTAAACATCTGCTGTGCTGCCCTTGGTGGAGGCAGGAGGAAGCCCTGCAGATCCTCTGGTGGGGCTCTCAGGGCTGGACACTGCAGGGATCAACCGAGCTGCGTCCCTGCTCCAGCCAGCCCCGGGGCAGTGACAATACCCCAGAAAGTAAAAGAGCTAGAAAGAAACGCTGGCACGTAGATGGGCTTTACTAAAAATAGGGTCTGCTACAAAATAGGCAGAAAAATAGCTAAGCGTACCCATTTTACAAACAGAATCAGCAAATGTATTCACTTTGCAAATTCAGCAACCGTATGTTGCCTATTTTGTAGAATAGGCAAAACGCTTCCCTAAACTGAAAAATCCCCTTTCAAGGACAGTGAATAAACCGGCTGGCAGAAATTCACCTATTTTGCATGACAGGCGACTTCACCGCGAGTCGTATTTTAGGAACTGTGCTCTTGCAGCCTAATTAAACCTTTTCCCCCAGCTCCTCGATATTCATAACAGAGCAACTCACTCTAGATTTAGCGCAGTAACCAGCTGCTTCTACCAGAAAGCAGCTCCTGGGCAGTTCCCTCCTGGTTCCAATAAAACCACACGATGCTTTGCAATCCCTGTTTTGGGGAAGGGAATATTGATCCGCTTCCCATAACTGCAGAAGTCCTGAGCTGCAGCAAGGCGAGGTGCCCTGAGAGGCACCAACTGCCAAGCTGGGTCATGCTGAAGGTGTAAAGCCCTGTCACCCCTTGCTTAGAAACCTGGAAGAAGTTTTATCACAGAAAAAAACCTAAACAAACACATATTCAGACACAAATGGAAGACACAACTGGCCTTCTGGAGTGCAAGATCTGTGGCTTTTGGAAGATTGCTGTAAAATGGGGGATGGAAAATGAAGCATGGGGGAAAAAAAAAAAGGAATATGGCTTTATTCGCTATAAATAAGAAAATAATTTGATTGCTGGCTCAGAAATGTCTGTATTGAAAGCTGCTTTTAAAGGCAAAGCTTTCAACCCACTTCCCAGGACTGATTATTTTGAATTTTTCCAACAGCTCCTCCCAGCCAGAGCACTCCTGCCCAAAACCAGCACCAAAGATACTGAGAAAATCTGCACCATTGGCAACTTAGGATGCCAGCGCTGGCACCAGAGCCTGCCCCAGAACAGAGACACTGAGCCAGGAACTGGTATATACGCCTTCCACGTAAAACACAAAGCCCTGCATCATGAGCTGAACTGCCCTTCATGGAAAGATGCTGCAAAATCCACCTTCCTGGGGGGGGCTGCTGGTTGCTTCTGGCATTTCCCCTTCTGAGCTGGTTCCACCTCCCAGCACCCACTGGTGACTACCACAGGCAACTGTCAGCACTGGAAATATATAAATTCTGTAAATCCCACTTGAACTTTCTCCTCTATTTACTAGGAACTTGCAACAAACACCTCTGAAGCCCTATAATAAACCCCACCCTCCTCCTTACTTAATGAAGAACCATCTCCTTGAAGGACACTGGAACTCTCACACAGGCAGAGCTGATAGAAATGAACTGGCCAGAGCTTGATTTTTGTTTTAAACCACAAATTCCTAGAACATCGCTTTGTGGTCAGCTGGAAAGAGTCAGACCAGTCTTCAGCCCATTTATCGGAAGCAGAGTCAGCTTGTTTCACACCTCTCTTAGGGTGCAATTACTCACAAAATAGACATTTCTGCTGTGAAGAGGCTCTCTCAGATCAATGAAGGGCTGGGATTAAGCCAACCCCGGTGTTTGCTCTGCAGGGGGTACTTGTGGAGGGAGGTGCTGCCTGCAGCAGGATGGGGGAACCTCTCCTTTACAGCCAAGTTATTTTAAGCTTAAGAGATGCCACAGCAACGCAACAGGCAAAGTATTGAGCACCAGCACCTCTCTGCTGGAAAACACCCTTTTCTTTCTCACATAATAAATTATTCTGCTTTATACATGTAAAATAAGGGAATCACTTACCCATTGTTTGCGAGCATGATTTCTCCTCTTAAAGTACAAAATTAACTTTTTCCGCATTGCCTGGTTTCTGTATAGGAAAAAAAAAAAGAAAAAGAAAAAAAGATGAGATCCAATTAACAAGGCGGCTAAAATCCAAAGCCTGGCTCTCCCCACGGACTCCCCAAGGAATCTGCAGCACAGTTTCCACCTTTCCACCTTAACTCACAATTGCATCAACTTCAGAGCAGCACACGTGGTTCTGTGGGGACCTCGCGCCAGCTTTAGAGAAAGACCAACAAACCCTCCAACACGAGGAACTTTGCCCACATCTGTTGGTAAAACCAGGGCTAAGGTTGAGAACTAAAATTACCAACTCCCAGTTCTGCAAACCGTCACTGAACACGGGCAGACGCTCAGCTCTGCACTCACCAACCGGCCACTTGAGTATTTTTGCATTTTGATTTTATGCTTCTTGAGTATTTTTACATTTTGATCTGCAAAAACCCAATGGGGTCCCAAGAGTCAGGTAGCTCAGGCCAAGCTCTGTGTGGTGGGACGTGGCCCCCACCAGCATCTCCTAAGCAGAGGCCACCTTGAGTCACCCCAGTCCCCAGAGCCAGCAGCGATGGAGCTGTCAACGCGCACACACACGCTCCCAAAGGGTTACTGACCCCTGGGGCTCCGAAGTGCTGATAAGGAGGCAGGATTGTGGCAGGGCTTGCAGCACATATCTCCTGACCTCTTGCCTTCTTGGATCTGTGCCTAACAAAGCTGCAAAGAAACCAGCCACCAAAGTTCAGCCGCTTTGCAGAATTGGGACCTCAAGAAAGAAACTGGCCACTGCAACCACGACCAACCTGATGTCTGCCCAGACATCCTCTGGTTTCTTCTTCTTTCTGCTTTCTAAAGACAGCGTGAAACAATTGCTCAAAGAGAAGCAGTGCCAAAGCTGGAAGGAGCTGGAAAAGCTGCACGAGCTCCCAGAGTCTGCATGAACCTGAGAGCTGAGCTCCTGTTACTAATATTCACAGCAATAAAATCTCTAGGTAAAAGGTAGAGATCAGGGGCAAAGGAGCTTCCTTAAGTCTTTTATCCCGATTAAAGGCAGAGCTGCAGTGTGTAATTACTGATCAGGAGCTTAACAGTCTCATGTAGGCACGTTCTGCAGGATTTAGCAGAATGAAGAGACACCCTTGGGGCTTCCTCATTCCCCTCCCTGCCTTGTCCCCAGGCTAGTGGGGAGGGAAAAATCCACCCTCCTCCCTCCATAAATCCCTCAAGTTACTCAGCAGCAAAAAGACACTTTGGGAAGGGGCAGAAGATCCAGCTTGCTCAGAGAGAGGACTGGGGGCAGTCCTGGCTTAATTTGGGGATGGAGAGCATCCCAGAAAGTATCTAAAGTTTTCACTTAAACTCCCTTCTTGCTACATCACTAAAACCGTACACAGGCACACACTGGGACACGGGGACCTGGAGCAGAGCTGGGGGCACCTCCCTAATACAGGCACCCAATAATTAGGGATTTATTTAGGACAGCAATTCCTTGGGTGTGGGGTCTTCATGCACCACTACCTCCAAGATCAAGTATGGCTGCTAGAGGAACGGCAGCAGGATTTGGGACAGGGATGATTTCTTCTCCAGCACCTCATGGTCACACTCAGCTTTGGGGCCTCTTTTTAGTTTACCAAGAAGGAAACACAACAGGCTCAATTCTCAGTCCTAATAGTACCACTCAGATTTTGTAACTTCTGTTTTTCCCTCTTAATTGGTTACCAGAGATATCGGATACAGGCGGAGTCCCTGAACACTGCCCGAGCTGCACCACATCTTCATTCCCTTTGACTTTGCCTTGAACACTTTGATGCAAAAATAGACCTTGATTTCCAAGGCAGCGCCAGCAAGCAGCACTCCTAACTCCTCCTATGAACAGAAAACACCAGCTACTGCCTAGGAACAGACTCCAGTATCCCCAGTAAGAGCCACACAGCCCCAGATCCCCATGTCCTTCCAATTCTAGGCAGCACCAGCATCAGCAGAAGGCACTGCCAAGTGACCAGGCTGAAGGTTCCTGCAGAGCAGACACTCGGAGCCACAAAGATTTGCTGAGGGTTTGAATATCAAGCCCTGCCCTTTGATTCTGTTTCAGAAATCAAAGTGGCATTGAACATCTAGGGGGAAAAAGCTAATAAATCCACGCACAGGGCAATTCCTGCCTTTGCTCTTTTTTGATGGCATGTTTACAAAGGACTCGGTGTTGTTCTGGGCCATGCTGCAAAGACCAGAGGCCACTTCATGAGACGTATTAACAAACATCGCTGCCAAAGGCTGCTCCCCACTGCCACTATCTCATGTCTCTGCCTGTGAGGTGCATCCACCAAGAAGCCTCAAAGTGGCTGGAGGCAACTGGTTGAGCTAAACCTCTCCAAGCAAACAGCATTCACTCGCCTTTAAAAGTGAGGGAAACTGAGGCACAGAGCTGCGGTGGAAATGGGGAGCGAGGCTGCACTGCACCAAGTGCTCCAGAGCATCCAGCTCTGGACTTGCAGGAGAGGTTGGTCCAGCAGTGTCCAGCGCCCTTTTGCCAGCCCAGCACATCAGGTACTCCCCTGCCCACCTGCAATCTCTCCTCCCAACCAAGCCCCGGCTCCCCGCACGCTCCCGCGACCTTTTGCAGCGCACACGGTGAGCTTTCGGCACCGGCTCCAGTGCCGCGTGGTGCCGCAGTGGGCAGCAAACCCTCCAGCAGGGATGGATGGATGGATGGATAGATCCCGTGCCAAGGCTTCAGCTCTGCAAGAACAAGTTCCGACGGAGACTGTGTCCAAAAGACACAATCCCGTTGTTTCTTCCAGTTCCGATGGAAACTCTTAACACTGGGAAACTACCGGAGTGAGGCTAATGATGGCCATGTGCACGATGGTCCCCAGCAAGGGGTCATGGATTGTCCCTGGGGGCCAGCACAGCTACATCAACCCTGTCCTCCCCACACCAGCCTGGGCAAGACCACATCCAGGAGAAGTGTGGGGCTTTGACACGCTTCTGCTGGATCTGTCCCACAAGTTATTAGGAGACAGGAGAGTAAATGAAGAAAATGAGCAGCTCTTACACAGCTGATGGGTTGCCTTGAGTTTTGCATCGTGGCTGACCTTGAAAGTGCTAATCCAGGCA